AAGAGGAGTAAACATATTTCCTTCAAATCCATCCACATGTCTTGAAAGGAGTCATGTCTCTCCAAGTCCAAACCAGCCTCCTCCATATCCTCTCGTGTGTGTGTGTGTGTGTGTGTGTGTGTGTGTGTTTGACCTTGTAGCGATCCAAAGCCGTGGAAATAACTTCTGACTGGGACAGTACACAGGAGCAGCTCCCTGCTGACCAGAACCTCTATTGGACTCGTCTTTGTCAGCTGGCACAAGAGTTTGTTCAGCTGCTCATGCAGCATCTGTGCTCCTGGCTGCAGTCGTGTACATCACAAAGTGAGACATTGAATGTGCCACCTTAGTGAGAAGTCAGGTCTGTTTTATTGTACTCAAAATAATGGTGTGCTACTTATAATCCATAAATGGAGTCCAAAGAATGTATAATTTTTAAATGGCAGCTGTAATAAAGTGGTTGTACATTCAAAATCTCACATTGTTCTGTTTACATTTGTGTGAAAACAAGGTCCAATCAGGCTGAAACATAACAGGAAGGGAGAATCTATGGAGTTTTAAGTGATCTGCACGTTTCATGATGATAGCACATTCCTAAGGGGGTCAGATTATGTCCCAAAGGTCACCGGGCCTGGTGTGACTTGAAGGCCGGTTTCCAAAAACAGCTTTGGTGGCTCATAACTTTTCCTCTGAATGTCCTAGAGAGGTCAAGTTTGTTTTAAAATACTCCAATTAATGGTCTGTATCTATAACAGAAGGAATGGAGTGGATAGGATGTACAGTTTGTAAATGGCACACACAGAATTATGTTGCACCAAGCACAATTTAACATGATTTTGGTTCCAGTTCCCTCAAACAAGGTCCAATCACGCTGAAACATAACAGAAAGGTAGAATCTATGGAGTTGTAAGTGATCTGTACATTTCATGATGATAGCACATTCCTAAGGGGGTCAGATGATCTCACAAAGGTCACCGGATCACTTCTGCCTTAAAGACAAATGTCCGGATACACCTATGGAGGCTCATAACTTGGCTTCTGAATGTCCTAGAGAGGTCAGGTTGGTTTTAAATTACTCCAATTAATGGTCTCTATCTGGAACAGAAGGAATGGAGTCATTAGCACTTACGGTTTTTAAACAGCACCCTGAAATATGTCGCACAAAGCACATTTTCACATAATGTTGGTTCCTTTTGTGTGAAAACAAGGTCCAATCTGGCTGAAACACAACAGGAAGGTAGAATCTATTGAGTTGTAAGTTATCTGTACATTTCATGATGATAGCACATTCCTAAGGGGGTCAGATGATGTCACAAAGGTCACCGGATCACTTCTGCCTTAAAGACAAATGTCCGGATACACCTTTGGAGGCTCATAACTTGGCTTCTGAATGTCCTAGAGAGGTCAGGTTGGGTTTAAATGACTCCAATTAACAGCCCCTATCACCAGCAGAAGGAATGGAGTCATTAGCACTTTTGGTTTTTAAATGGCACCCAGAAATATGTCGCACCAAGCACAATTTCACATATTTCTGGTTGCATATCTGTGAAACAAGCTCCAATCTGTCTGAAATGAACACATGATGGACCTGTGAGGTCAAGGAGCACACAGTATCAGTGTCAAGTCTGGAGGTTGAAGAGAACCCCGTTTTTAGCTGAAATCCATCTTTTTTCTGACCTCTGACCCAGAACAACACCAGAACAACGAGCTTCGGCTACCAAACTGCCTGAGCTAGCTCTGGGTGACGGCGGCATGCCAAATCCACATTTGTTTGGTGAAAATCGGTTGAGAAATGCCACTTTGCCGAGCACATGGCAGAAAAGGTGGGAAAAGTGCCGTACGGCCCCAAACGGACGCTTAACACGATGCGACCGGCACGAACTCAACGTATGTGTTTTGGGCCAGTGCTGGGATGCACCAGAAGAGTTTTCGGGCGCCTCGGATCAACGATGGCCGAACGGCAGCCAAAAAGGGTCTAAAAATCGTGGTTTCGGGCCTAGGGTTTTGCCGTTTGCTTTTAATTAATTAAAAATAGTTAAATTCCACGTAGGGACATGAAATTCACATATGTTGTAAAGAAGGACATGCCGAATTATATTTTAGTTGCGTCACGCTACGTCGCTCACTGACCAAGTTCGGCCACTAGGGGGCGCAGTCGAAAATTGTTTACACTCTCTGGTTCGGAAGTCCGGTACGAGCGCAAAAATCTACTCGTCTTTTCGATAGCCCTCACGGCGCTAGAATTGCGCCATTGTAAACTTGCAAGGTCGCGCACTTTGGGGGGCTATATCTCCTGAACCACAAAATATTTTTGCCACCAAACCACCTCGGATGGACTCGTGCTTGGCCCCCGAACCACATTTCCGAAGATGGCGCCGCTGGCGCCAGCAGAACTTTTTCTTTCCACTTTCTACCAGGAAAACACAAGTCCTCTTTGAGGCGATGGGTCTAAGAGGGCATTTTTTTGGCCAAACTCAGACACGACTTTTTTTTTTTTTTTTTTCAATTTTGACAGCGGATTATGATTGCTTGGCACCACGGGGACCACCTCTCCAAAAACGGGACGGATCGGGCGTTCTCTTGAGGAGCTGTGGCTAAAAAAGAGCGTGACCTCTGGCGACCTGGGGTTCGGAAAAGCACTGAAACAAAGAGCTACGGCTACCAAACTGCCTGGGCTAGCTCGGGGTGACGGCGGCATGCCAAATCGATGTTTGTTTGGTGAAAATCCGTTGAGAAACACCACTTTGCCGAGCACATGGCAAAATGGAGGGAAAACTGCCCTCAGGCCCCAAACGGACGCTAAACACGATGCGACCGGCACGAATTCGAAATCTTTGGTTCGGACCAGTGCTGGGCGTGGGACCGGCACAAGCTCGACGTATGTGGTAGCTGTCAGCTATCTAAAGGAAATGTGCAAGTTTCAACTCTCTAGGTTGAGCAGAACCCTGTTTTTCAGCTCCAAAACAGCCCAAATCCATCATTTTCTCTGCTTGTACCAAGAGGCTGTGAACCTTGACCCTTCTGAATAAGCCAGCAACTTGGAAACTGCATATGTTGTAGCTGTCAGCTATTTAAAGAAACATTCTCAGTTTCAAGTCTCTAGGTTGAGGAGAACCCTGTTTTTCAGCCCCAAAACAGCCCAAATCCATAATTTTCTCTGACCTCTGACCCAGAACAGCACTGGAACAACGAGCTACGGCTACCAAACTGCCTGGGCTGGATCGGGGTGACGGCGGCATGCCAAATCGATGTTTGTTTGGTGAAAATCGGTTGAGAAATGCCACTTTGCCGAGCACATGGCAAAATGGAGGGAAAACCGCCCTCAGGCCCCAAACGGACGCTTAACACGATGCGACCGGCACGAATTCGAAATCTTTGGTTCGGACCAGTGCTGGGATGCACCAAAAGAATTTTCGTGCGCCTCGGACCAACGTGGGCCGAACGGCGGCCAAAAAGGGGCTCAAGTGGCAAAAGGCCGCAAATGAAGCCTGAGCTAAATTTTCACACTTTTGGGCTGCCGTTTGAATTCGGTTCGGCGTAGCCGCACGAAATTTGGGGTGGTGCATCCCGGCTACCATCTCATCGACGCACGTCGAAATCGATGCCGTTGGACCTTTTCGAGGGCCCTTACAGGACGCGTGTCCAAGCAGATATAGTCAGGTGTCTGGTTACACCTTTGTGGGCTTATAACTTGGCTTCTGAATATCCTAGAGAGGTCAGGCTGGTTTTAAAATACTCCAATCAATGGTCTGTATCTAGAACAGAAGGAATGGAGTGGATAGGAAGTACAGTTTTTAAATGGCACCCAGACCTATGTTGCACCAAGCACATTTTCACATTATTATGGGTCCAGTTCTCTGAAAAAAGCTTCAATCAGGCTGAAACATCACAGGAAGGTAGAATCTATTAAGTTGTAAATTAATCATGTGTTTCATGATGATAGCACATTCCTTAGGGGGTCAAATGTTGTCACAAAGGTCACTTCTTCTTTAAAGGCGTGGTTCGTAACACACCTTTGTGGGCTTATAACTTGGCTTCTGAAAATCCTAGAGAGGTCAGATTTGTTTTACAATACTCTGCTTACCAGCCCCTATCACCAGCAGAAGGAATGGAGTCATTAGCACCTATGGTTTTTAAATGGCACCCTGAAATATGTCGCACAAAGCACATTTTCACATAATGTTGGTTCCTTTTGTGTGAAAACAAGGTCCAATCTGGCTGAAACACAACGGGAAGGTAGAATCTATTGAGTTGTAAGTTGTCTGTACTTTTCATGATGATAGCACATTCCTAAGGGGGTCAAATCATGTCTCAAAGGTCACCGGATCACTTCTGCCTTAAAGACAAATGTCCGGATACACCTTTGGAGGCTCATAACTTGGCTTCTGAATGTCCTATAGAGGTCAGGTTTGTTTTACAATACTCTGCTTACCAGCCCCTATCACCAGCAGAAGGAATGGAGTCATTAGCACCTATGGTTTTTAAATGGCACCCTGAAATATGTCGCACAAAGCACATTTTCACATAATGTTGGTTCCTTTTGTGTGAAAACAAGGTCCAATCTGGCTGAAACACAACGGGAAGGTAGAATCTATTGAGTTGTAAGTTATCTGTACTTTTCATGATGATAGCACATTCGTAAGGGGGTCAAATCATGTCCCAAAGGTCACCGGATCACTACTGCCTTAAAGACAAATGTCCGGATACACCTTTGGAGGCTCATAACTTGGCTTCTGAATGTCCTAGAGAGGTCAGGTTTGTTTTACAATACTCTGCTTACCAGCCCCTATCACCAGCAGAAGGAATGGAGTCATTAGCACCTATGGTTTTTAAATGGCACCCTGAAATATGTCGCACAAAACACATTTTCACATAATGTTGGTTCCTTTTGTGTGAAAACAAGGTCCAATCTGGCTGAAACACAACGGGAAGGTAGAATCTATTGAGTTGTAAGTTATCTGTACTTTTCATGATGATAGCACATTCCTAAGGGGGTCAAATCATGTCCCAAAGGTCACCGGATCACTTCTGCCTTATAGAGCAAGTAACGTCTAAATTAACTTTTTTTTGCTGATGAACTGTATAAATGAGTGTCTAATAGTGTTTTAAATGTGTGCATTCTTTATTTTAGCATTTTGGTGCATTTTCTTTAAAAATTAAAAATTCTGTCTAAAAACCACAGTAATGCGCCACCTTCAGCTGAAAACATAGAATTTGAGTCATTTTGAATAAATTTTAGCCAATGGCTAAAGAGTAAAGTACTACGTAAACCAGTAGAGTACTACGTAGCAGCTCCGTGCCAAAGTTATAAAAGCAACGAGCGTCTCGGCCACGCCCTGTGGCGAGTGGGAGTTGGATTTGCAAGCGAGCGTAGGAGGTCAGCGGTAGTTCAGCATTAGCATATAGCATTAGCATATCCTAGTCTTAGCATATCTTTTAGTGTTATAAATACTTATTTAGTGTTAGATTTGGCTGTTGGATATTGTAGTTTAGTTAGTGTTTGGCTGTTAGTGTAATTGGGAAAGTATTTCGGGTTTAGTGCTCCATATCGTCTTAGTATTGGTGAGTAGGTGTAGTGTAGTATGCTTGCGGTGACTCTGTGGGCATTTTACCCGCGATTCTGCACGTCTCCGTTTGAAGAGGGAGGCTGCCCACCGTGGCTCTTCCGCGATTTAGATGCAGCCCACCGACTCTGCTCCCCCACCACGGCGGGCTCCAGTCTGAGGTGAGTACGCTAAATAAACGTTTTAACATCTTCTAAAGACAATTCCCTACCTAAATGCAAAGTCTGAGAGACGTGGTTCACTTCCTTTAGCTAGTCGGCAATTCTGCAACAGTGTCTCTAACTGACGCAGCACTTGACAGACAGCATTACAGCGTGAAATCCAGCTTGTGACCCGGTTCTGTAAGGAAATCTGTTCAGGAGGTCGCATTTCAGGCTCTCCACATCATATGTGACTGACTTTTACGTTATAATGATCACACACTAGGAATGTTATAAAGCGCCTATATAGGACAGTTTCTTTTGTATATTATCTGACTTTATAAACTCCCAACAACAATGTGCTTATATATTTTTTTCAGGCTAAATCTACCCAAGACACTGGCTGTCAGACTGATTTAGCTGCAAGAATGCACTTGTCCAGGCTGATGTGAAACCTTCCCTGTAGCAAAGGTGAATTATTTTTAATAATCTTCTATGTAAACATTTTATTATTACCTTCTAGTTTTAATTTATTTTACAGATTATTGTTACACGTGATTTTATGCTCTTTTAAACATTTATAAATGTGCTGCTTCTTTGTTTTTACATAGCCAGCCAGAATGGAGTTCACAGCCGCAGTGTGTCTGGTGACCCACGGGGACCATGATGAAAATTCATCTTCCAGAAGGTCCCAGAGCAGCGGCCACACCCCCTGAAAAGACCAAGGTGTGAGGTGTCTGCTGTTGATTCCAGCTTCCACCTCAGTGACAGTGCAAGCTCAGTGAACTGTTCAAGGTAAAAAAAAATTAAAACATTTCAGAATTTTTAAGATATTAACAATTAAATAAGTATGTGATTACATCATGACGGAGGCAACTGATTCTGCCCCTTTGACACTTGGTGGTGACGTTTGAGCTGATTCACCTGGAAAACAACTTTTACATTAAATATTTTGTTTTTGCTATCAAAAGTAAATTAACTAATAACCTGCATTATAGCAGGACACTCAGCAAAATATGGACTCTATACCATGAGGCAGGCACACGTTAATAACTCTATAAGAGCACATAAGGTGAGCAACACCACATATTGTACACTGTCCTGAATTTGTTTTCTTTCTGCATCTCATTAGCCTGGCTGATCACCTGATAACTCCTGTCATCTGGTTATGACAGCATGAGGATGTCCTCACACACCTGTAACCTATCAGCTCATCTGGCAGAATAGAGAGAGAAGAGACAACACCACATCTCCTGTTCCTGGAAAGCCTTCAGCCATCCTTCGATGACTGAGAACCTCCATCAGCTCTGTCTCCTGTCTGCCCACAATTATTATAATAAATATTGTGTTTGACAAGTTTTTTTTGTGCTGCCAAATATCTCATATAGATTCCAGTTTTGATATTTTAATGGATATTTATAAATTACATTAATTGAATTATCACAATGCATGTTTAACTAGCTCTATTGTGATGAATTAAACTAGCACCTCACTGTTAAAAGCTCGTTTTAATTTCAAGCATGTTGAAGTATTTATGGACATGAACAAAAACAGGAAATATATAAATTGAGATTTATTTAATTAATATAACAAATAAGGGGGAAAGAGTCATTGAAAGGCACATTCTTCTGGAAGCTCCTGATCCTGACGACACCAGCAGAGGAGACCACCTGCAGACACCAGAGACCACCTGCAGACACCAGAGACCAGCTGCAGACACCAGAGGACCTAGAACCAAGAGAGCAGCTGTTATCAGTAAATAAATAAACCAGGGCAGTTTTAGTGAGCTGAACACATTACAGAATAATTTTCTCATGGGGCATTTTCATAACTTTATGCAGCAGACTGTAACTTGAGCCCAGAGCTACCGGAGAGCTGCTATCCAGCATGTTTCAGTGGATTTTCCTGCTTTAACAGGTTAGATTAACTGTTAAGCAGCTCAGCTATTTGTTGCTGATTAAAACCAGGTGTGCTGAGGCAGATAAACCTCTAAAACATGCTGAATACTAGCTCTAGAGCCATGGAGACAAACCCTGCAGCTAATCCAATGCTATGGCTAACGGCTACTTACGTTCAGAGGTGGTTCTGTTGGGTCGGTTCTGGGAGTTACAGGCAACTCACAAGCTCACAACAATAAGGCTCAGGTCCGCTTGTCTCCTCCAAATAGACTTGGTCCCTTTCTTCTCGAGTGTCTGGGTAAGGAGGGGGAGAAACATCCTCCACTTCTAATAACTGCATAGAGTGAAGGGAGCTAGCATCGTCTAGTTAGCCGTCGTCTTCGTCACTGCCGCGGCTCCGCCCTCTCGGTCCTCCAGGCAACGCCTACTAATGTTGCATTTTTTAAAATTGACACGTGGGTGGAGAAGGACTCCGAGGCTCAATTGACCCGCTCTTTAAAGACAAATGTCCGGATACACCTTTGGAGGCTCATAACTTGGCTTCTGAATGTCCTAGAGAGGTCAAATTTGTTTTAAAATACTCCCATTAATGGTCTGTATCTAGAATAGAAGGAATGGAGTGGATAGGATGTACAGTTTTTAAATGGCACCCAGAGTTATGTCGCACAAACCCCAATTTCACATTTCTCTGAATTTCGGTCAACCGAGAAAGTAGACCAAAATGCAGGTTCATTTTCCAGAAAAGGGAAACTGACTGGCACATTAAAGGTTAACTTTCCATCTCCCCCCCCCAAATGGCTCTGTGCTCAGAACAGGCTTCAGTTGGAAGCAGGAGAGCATTGAGGGAGCAACTAAAAAACACGTTTTCACTCTGTTGGACAAACAAGCTGGTTGAGGTGAGTTTTTTGCTTTTTTAAATTTTTTTCCCAATAAAATGAGGGAAGGATACAATTTGGGGTATACTCTGCACGAAATTTGGCCCCAATTGAATTAAAAACGGGCTGAATGCTGCATAATGGGTCACTTTTGCTTCATTTTGGGACTTTGCTACTATTGGACATCTCATGAACAGCCTCAGTTGGCAAACACAGACATTTATGAAGTGTTAATAAAACAAATTGGGCATCTTTTAGGTAATTAAATATTTGGGTAATATTTAATCTCCATGGACATCTCATGAACAGCCTCAGTTGGCAAACACAGACATTTATGAAGTGTTAATAAAACAAATTGTGCATCTTTTAGGTAATTAAATATTTGGGTAATATTTAATCTCCATGGACATCTCATGAACAGCCTCAGTTGACAAACACAGACATTTATGAAGTGTTAATAAAACAAATTGTGCATCTTTTACGTAATTAAATATTTGGGTAATATTTAATCTCCATGGACATCTCATGAACAGCCTCAGTTGGCAAACACAGACATTTATGAAGTGTTAATAAAACAAATTGTGCATCTTTTAGGTAATTAAATATTTGGGTAATATTTAATCTCCATGGACATCTCATGAACAGCCTCAGTTGGCAAACACAGACATTTATGAAGTGTTAATAAAACAAATTGTGCATCTTTTAGGTAATTAAATATTTGGGTAATATTTAATCTCCATGGACATCTCATGAACAGCCTCAGTTGGCAAACACAGACATTTATGAAGTGTTAATAAAACAAATTGTGCATCTTTTTGGCCTCAAAAACACACAATTATAAAATACCCAACAGAGATCTTCTCTATGCTTCTAGACATGACGAAACCTAAGGAGCCGGGCACGTGCCCCATTTGCCAGAAGGAGCTGCTGCTTGTTTCAAAACACCTGAAAGAGTTCCACAAGGTGGAAAACATCCACGAAAGGAACATTTTTAATAAGCTGGCCATGGGGAGGACGGTAATTCCTCCTGGTCCCTGTCCCATTGTGAACTGCATCCCACACCTGCTTCACGTGGAGAAGCAAGTGGACAACCACATGGAGCTGACAGGGAGGAGGAAGCGGGAGGTCAAGATGGACCTTAAGAGGAAGGTGGCCTTGCAGCTCCTCAGGGACTTGAGGGCCACTGACCCCCAGCCTCCCATGGTCAGTACGCTTGACTTTGAAGGCGACCCGGCGGCAGGCCAGGGAAACACCTGCGCAAACCCTGCATGCAGGATCCGGGCCACCTACCTGACCAACGAGGTCTACCGCCTCCAGGGCGCTCTGGCGGATGCCAAGGTGAGTGAACCAAAAGTTGGCTGTTATGTTAAACTGGTAATGTAATGACAGTGCTATAAGGTCAATTAGGTAAGACATATTTTGCAAGAACCACTCTTTTTTTCCCCATGCAGAGGCAGCTACAGCAGCTCCAGGCGCAACAGGCCTCCTCCTCTCCGCCGGAACAGCGGCGTGGGCACGGGCAGGGATGGCGCCTTAGTCCGCGCCCCTCGACTTCCGCCGCCTCGCGCGCCTCCCCTACAGCTTCCTCCAGCTCCAGCTCCTCGTCATCAGACGACGAGGGTGAAGAACGGCGGGAGCAGGGGCAGGGACAGCGCCGTAGGCCGCGCGCCTCCCCTACCGCTTCCTCGAGCTCCAGCTCCTCGTCATCAGACAACGAGGGCGAAGAACGGCGGGAGCAGGGGCAGGGACAGCGCCGTAGGCCGCGCGCCTCGGCTTCCGCCCCCTCGCGAGCCTCCCCTACCGCCTCCTCAGAGGAGAGGAGCCAGGAGCCCCAGGCCCAGCCCCCGGAGCCCCAGGCCCAGCCCCCAGAGCCCCAGGCCCAGCCCCCGGAGCCCCAGGCCCAGCTCCTGGAGCCCCAGGCCCAGCTCCCGGAGCCCCAGGCCCATTCCTCGGAGCCCCAGGCCCATTCCTCGGAGCCCCAGGCCCATTCCTCGGAGCCCCAGGCCCAGCCTCCGGAGCCCCAGGCCCAGCCCTCGGAGCCCCAGAGGAGCCCGCTGGACCCTAAGGTGGACACACGGGGGACAGCTAGTGAGATTTGGCCGAATTCGGTTTGGGTTACCTCAGGCCACCAGGGGGCACTAGGGGGGCTCAATTTGGGTTACTTTTCGAGTGCGCTGAAACGAATGGCTCATTTTGGGCCACTTTGAGGGAGGGCCCATGCCCGGGTCCAGGCCCGCCCAGGGGGCCGTCCTCAATTCGGGCTACTTTGTCGGTGTGCCGAATCGGAGGCTCCATTTGGGTTACTTTGGAAAAAGTCCTAAAGTGGAGGCCTCCATTTCGGGCTTCTTTTGCATGTAGTTGAAAGTAACCCAAATTGAAGGCTTCCTTAATTGAAAATTTCAGTTCGGGTTACTTTAGAAGAAGACCCAAAATGGAGGCCTCCATTTCGGGTTACTTTAGAAGAAGCCCCAAAATGGAGACTCCATTTTGGGTTACTTTAGAAGAAGCACCAAAAATGAGCCTACATTTCGGGTTACTTTAGAAGAAGACCCAAAATGGAGGCCTCCATTTTGGGTTACTTTAGAAGAAGCACCAAAAATGAGCCTACATTTCGGGTTACCTTAGAAGAAGACCCAAAATGGAGACTCCGGTTTCCCCCCCAAGAGGGACACACACACTTACACACACACACACACACGCACGCACGCACGCACACACACACACACACACACACACACACACACACAAAGACAATCCTCCAAACAGAAGTGGTTAACCAAAGCAGGAGAATATTTAAAGAGGACCCCCTATGATCTTCTGCATAATCACATGAGCCCAGGTGTGAAACCTATTCAGCCAGTTACGGGTGAGCTCATTATGAAACCTGGCCCCACCCTATCATGTGATTTCGTGAGGTCAGATGGGCCAAGATGTGAGTGGGCTTTAAGTCATCTGGGAAGGCATCTCAAAACTGGATTATAGATGGCAGACAGTTGGTGTCGTAAACCACCGCCTCTTTTCAAAGATGGTTGCTCACAGTGGATGTAAATGATATCTTTCACTCCTCTTTCAAACCATCTGTCCTCTCTGTCCAAACTGTGAACATTGTCATCCTGGAGTGACCTTTGTCCTTTTGATGCAGATGAACTGCTGAGTCCTGTCCCGTGGAGATGGCTATGTTGTTCCTATGTTGTGCTACTTCATTTTCTATTAAGACAAGAAGCCCAAATTGGAGACTCCATTTCGGGCTTCTTTTGCATGTAGTTGAAAGTAACTCAAATTGAAGGCTTCATTAATTGAAGAATTCAGTTTGGGCTTTTTTTCCATGTTGTAAAAGTAGCCCAAAATGAATGGCTCATTTTGGGCTACTTTTCCATGTTGTAAAAGTAGCCCAAAATGAATGACTCATTTTGGGCTACTTTTCAATGCTGTAAAAGTAGCCCAAAATGAATGGCTTATTTTGGGCTACTGTTCCATGTTGTAAAAGTAACCCAAAATGAATTCATTTTGGGCTACTTTTACAACAATCAAAAGTAGCCCAAAATGAATGCTTCATTAATTGAAGAATTCACTTTGGGTTACTTTAGAAGAAGTCCCAAAATAAGCCTCCATTTCGGGTTACTTTAGAAGAAGTCCCAAAATGGAGGCCTCCATTTCCTCCATTTTGGGTTACTTTAAAAGAAGACCCAAATTGAGCCTCCATTTTGGGTTACTTTAGAAGAAGACCCAAATTTGAGGCCTCCATTTTGGGTTACTTTAGAAGAAGTCGCAAAATGGAGGCCTCAATTTTGGGCTTCTTTTGCATGTAGTTGAAAGTAACCCAAATTGAAGGCCTCCTTAATTGAAGAATTCAGTTTGGGTTACTTTAGAAGAAGCCCCAAAATGGAGGCCTCCATTTCCTCCATTTTGGGTTACTTTAGAAGAAGACCCAAATTGGAGGCCTCCATTTTGGGTTACTTTAGAAGAAGACCCAAATTGGAGGCCTCCATTTTGGGTTACTTTAGAAGAAGCCCCAAATTGGAGGCCTCCATTTTGGACCTTCTTTTAAATTAGCCCCAAACGTAGTCGACTCTCTGAAGGATCCGGAACTCTGTCTCTGCGTTTGTCGTCATTCAGATAAGTTGCAGTCTTCGGCCCATCGATGTCTTCTGAAAACATCTGTCCGTTCTTCATTGTAATAATAACAAAGCTAGACACACCCCCTACTACCTGTTGTACCCAAATGAATACCTTAAGTGGTTATGAAATGAAACGCACACACCATTGGAATACATTAAACAATTTATCTGAACAATTATAAAAATAAGAACCACAACAACCTTTAGAACAGTAAATAGAAATTGAAAAAAACAGAACACAAAACAGTGGCAACTGTAAACATTAGAACAAAAAGAAAAAATTTGCCAAACATAACAATTATTCACAAACACACACTACAACTTCCTGAGTTTAACTACAGCTGTCCCCCGCTGGAAGGGGGAGTACCCCACCTTCTTTTTAATGGCCTGGGCCAGTTGCTGCCGGGTCTTCACCGGCGTTCGCTTCTGAAGGAAGAACAGAATCCGAATGAAGTCAGTGAACGTGTGTTGTGGTGTGATAGCGATCGCATGAGTTCAACTTACTCGGGTAGTCTCCTCCGCCGCTCGAGACCCGGAGGCAGCAGTGGGAGTCGCAGGACCGGGACTTTCAGGAGCCAGTTGTTGAGACGGGGGAGTTCCGGGAGCAGCCGGCTGGTCTTTCGCCGAGTCCTCCTCTCTAAGAGAGAGGCAGACGAAAAGCTTCCGGATATCTCTCGCCCGGGAGAGGTTTTTATGCAAGGCGTAGAACCTCTCCTGGGTGTCCACATTATGACATATAAATTTGGAGAGGTTCTCGCGGACCTCCGGGTTGTTCTCCTGAAAATTCTACAGCAAAGAAAATGAGACTTGCATCAGTATGAATACACACGCATGAAATCGATCGTGTTTCGTGTTTGTGATACTCACGTAGGTGGACACGGCCGTTCGAATATCCATTATGGTCGGGTACCCCTTCAGCCCCATTTCCTGCCACGCACGACTGAAGTACCGGGCCATGTCCTTGGCCTCCCCACGGCCAAAGGTGGAAAAAAATAACTGTTTCTGGCGACGGACCTGTCCCTCAGCCTTAGCCAGGTCCGAAACCACGCAAATTCGTCCGGCTCAAGGTATAGTTGAGCGGTTCCAAATTTGCGTGCAGTCTTGTGCTCGAGGACCTGCAGAAGACCAAGTATGACAGAAACCGGAGGGGTCAGTCAGTGGTAAAAAAAACAATTAAATTAAATTTTAAAAAGAACTTTGAAGACAACTGATTAGCCGGCGGTGAAAATATCATTAAAAGATCCCCAACATAAAAAAAAACACCCAAAAGAGAAGCAGGTTAGCCCTTAAACAAAAGAAGAAGGTGAAATAAGGTCCAAAAAAAAAGTGTTGGGTTATCA